AGCCCCTCCTGAGTCTGTGTGGAGACGAAGCCACCCCGGAGCCCAAGATTCACCAGGAGCAGCAGAGGCTCATAACAACAGGGCTACACCCTCATGTGTGCCAGACGCAGGCATGCAGCCACATGGAGGATGCCTCCTGTTCATGAGGGGACTCCGAAGTACTGGAGCACCATACTTCCCCTTAACATGTCCACCCCAGCACCAAGTCTCTGCTGGTACCCCAGCCTGGCAAAAGGCATCACTGCAGCAGTTCTTCCCAGGAGATGGGTCTGGAGAAGACTTCCCTTTCCAGCCACAGATCATAGTTCATCTGGAAGTCCTCGGGCAGCTCCACACGCTGGCCCAGCACACTTTGTAAACAGTTATCCACGGGCAGGAAGTCAGGGTTGCTGTGCGCCCGGTCGTAGCGCCGGGAGTTGAAGCGCTCGATGCTGGCTCGTAGGGCACACTCCTCGGCTTGGAAGTCCCAGGGGCGTGCATCCAGATCTAGGCATGGAGCAGAGCAGAGCAGAGCATGAGGCCTTTGTGAGACAGGAGCAGAGCCTACCTTCTCAATCCGTGCCAACTGAGAGCTGCCAAGCAGCAGCCAATCCTAATCAGCATTACTCTGCTTAAGAGCACCCTCCTTTGGGCCCCCTCAGGGTATCAGCAATCAACAGCTGGGCACAGGAGGAACAACACAGGGTACTCAGAGGCTGGGGGAGTAATTCTAGCTTTGTCTGACAATACATAGCCTCTGCCAACAGTAGAGATATTGTCCCACTGAACCAAGCCATTAGCACTGTGGAAACTCCATCTCCTTAATGTGTCACTCAGCTATGCTGGGGAGCAGAGGTCCTGATAGTAGATGGGATGTAGTGTCAGGACTGGCTATATCACATGCACTGGGTCCTCTTTGGACTGGAGATGCAGCCAGCCAGGTTTCCACCTGAAACGTGAGGCTCTATTATGGTGGGAGCAGCTTCCCCACCCCCACCCATCTTCAATATGGAGGTACAGCGCCAGCAAGCAACGAGTCCTCCCAGGCTGGTGTTAAAGCCCTACTCCACTCATGCCCAATCAGTGGTGCCCTTTGGGCTAGATAAGAGCTCTGTGGGGCAGCAGAGAGGACAAGAGAGGCGGTACCGTTTCCATAGGCCCAGTCGTCATTGAGCCGGTGCCGCACTTTCTGGTAGATTGCAGACATGGTCTTCATATTACTTTTCCTCCACTGCCGTCCCAAGTACTTGGTCTGCACTTTGAGCAGCTTCAGGACGTAGAGCTGCATCATAGCCTGTTTCACCTTCAGGGCACGTTTCAGGATGGGAGCTGACTTGAACACAACCAGCATCTGAAAAACATGCCCGTAAGTCAGCCTGGACCTGGCACCAAGACAAGGCTAGGCCAAAGACCTGGGCTTCTAAGACACAGGGCAGGGGTCCACAACCCCTCCACATGCCCACCTAGGCCTAAGCACTTTGCACTGACTCAGCCCAGCTGCCAGGGGCTCCTTACTCACCATGGTGCGGGAGTGTTTCCATTTAGTCAGCTTATTCAGGATCCGCAGGAGGTTGATGCAGGAGAATAGGTTCCGCCAGCAAAACTGATTGTTGTCGCCTGCTTCCTGTGGGAACAGCAGAGCCGGGGGCATGAACGGCCCAGCCCAGCAGTAATGCAGTGCTGCTGCTGGGAGGAGCTGCCTAGGCCTGCCCTGCTCAGAAGGCATGCACAGGGCCTGCATGCTTTCCGAGCTGGTGTAACTTGCCCCACAGAGGCAGGGGAAGCAGTTGGGTCATTGGTGCCTAGGCCTGCCCTGCTCGGAAAGCATGCACAGGGTCTTTCCAACTGCTGCCGATCATCCCAAGCCCTGTGAAGCTAACTGAGGGTCAAGGCTGTCCCAGAAGGCACAGAGCCCCTACTCTCCCAAGCTATGGCCACCTGCTCTGAAGCAGAACAGCACCTCCCCTGCACATGTTACTGGACAGTTCCTTTCTGTCCAGCCCCTCTGTAATGCAAAAGAATACCTGGCCAAGGACACCCTCCCCAGCAAGGGGTGCCGTGGCCTGGGAGGGACAGCGGGGCGGTGGTCCTAGCTTACCAGACTCTCTGCTGTCAGCTCCGGGAGTTCATGCACCACGCAGTAGGGGTAATCCAAGACAGAGATGCTGTGAGGAGGAGAGAGGGCATCAGTCTCCACTGTTCATCAATACCCCAGGGTTGAGGACAGAACAGTAGACTCATCTCCAGGGCTCCCTGCCACCCGCAACCCCATGGTGCAGCATCCTGGAGATGGTCACTGTGGTCTTTTGCCCCAAGGGGCTCCCAAGTGCCCAAGCCCATATAGAGATGGGACACTGCTGCTGATTCAGGCAGCAGGAAAAGGAGTCTGGGGTGAGATCAGAGTGTGGCTTCCTTCTTGGGGGCCATGCTGCAAGCTCTGTCAGGGAGAGGGAGTGGGTGGCCTATACCTGTTTTGAGTGTCCCACTGCAGAGCAAGACTGGGATCCCACTAGGGTACCCTTCCACAAGATGATACCCTGCCCCTCTACCACAGTGGCCCTCTGTGTGCAGCGATCTCAGCCCATAGCTGTGACAGGGTCAGTGTGGCATCCTAATTGTGCAAGTGTTAGGCTCCCAGCCCCCCGTCACCTGTTCTTGGCAGTGATGTAGGACATGATGTTCTGATTGAAGAACTTGAGGATGAGCGGGATGCAGTTGGCAAACACCAGGTGCTGGGCCATGTACTCGAACTAAGACCAAAGACAAGGCAGGCAGCTGAGCAGGCAGCTCCTGTCCTTACCCCCCAGTGCTGCCTGCTCCCCAGGTAAGCTGTGCCCAGCAAAGGTCCCCACACCAGCTCACTTGGTAGATGTGATTCAACTTGAAGTGCTTGAGGAGCAGCAGCAGGACAGCAGAGATGGCCTTGACAATGATCTCTTTGTGGCGATTCACATCCACCCCCAGCTTCATGCTCTGCAGCACCGTGGTTCTGGATGACAAAGCCACAATCTTAGCTCACAGCAGAGTGAGGAGCAACCCACAGCCACAGGAGACAGCACCAGATAACCCAGATGAAAAGATAAAGCAGGGCAATAGCCCCTAGACCTCTCCAGGCTGCTTCCTGCATCTCCTCCCCTCACATTCTACTTAATCAATAAACAAGCTATATCTCAGCCCAAAGCCTCCAAACCACAACCATGTGCATAGCTGGTACCTCCTCCACTTCACAGCTGGAATGCAGTCACCTCTGGGGTGAAACAAATCCCATCATGGAAATGCAGAGCTTAGAAACCCACCCCAATTCAGGAGCATGACTAACAAAAGTCCCCCACGTTTGACTGAAATCACAAATAGACTGGCCTTAGCCTGATGCTCTGGGCTGAAAGCACAGGGAATGTGCCTGTCATAAGACAGGTGACACCTCCCAGAACAGAGGGAAGGTGCTTGCTGCTGGGATGCCAGCACCACTGTCTGCACCCTTCTGAGATTCCCCGAAGATCTCCCATCCAATGAGCAGCCAGATCCCAGCCTTCTTAGCCTGAACAACCTGGCCAAACCTTAAGTTAGGGGCTGGGGGACACAGACAGCTTCCACCCCACGACAGGCCTCACCCTACCCACGAGCTGCACTCACGGCATCTCCTCAGGCAGGACATCTGCCAGGATGTTGATGGAATCTGTCTTGGCCTTGGAGGTGGGGGCTGCAGCCAGCAGGATCTTGAGCAGAGCAATCTGTGGAGAAGAGCTGGGTGAGGATGGCAGGCTGCATCAGGAGGCACCGACTCTACTGCCCCAAAACTGCTCTCCCTTGGCCATATGCTACTGGATAACATTGGCAATGGACAGGGGAGGCCTGAAGCCATGTGACTGGATACACGGTTCATCATCATTCCTCCTTGCCACTGAAATACAGCCACACCTAGGGTGAAACAATGGTAGGGATGTGTCCAAAGTATTAAAGGATCCAGGCAGGAACAAACCAACAGAGAAGAATTTTCCTCACATCAAGAGGTGAGAGGATGAGGGGGAAAGCACTGTGATCAGGCAAACCCGTTTTAGTCTGAAGAATGAAGGAGGACAGGGCCCAACAGTGCTCCTCAAGGAAGGAGAGAAGGGCTGAAGTTCAGGGAGCAGGGGCAGGATCGGCAGAGGGGGCACAACTCACCATGTACTGAGGCAGGCTGGGGAGGAGCCCCTGGTACAGGATTTCTGCAGGGACTTGCTCCACTTCCTCTTCCCCCTAAGACAGGAAGAGGGTGAGACGCCCAGGCCTGGTGCCACCTCCAGACTCTGACATGTGGCAGGAGGATGGTTCACACCGAGGTGCCTGGGCAGGCCTGACCCCCCCTGGCTCTACAGAACCAGACATCAGTGCCCCCACAACCCCAGACCACCTCTCTCCAGTGACCTCAGGGACCAGTACTGCAGGCTCAGCAGGAGGTCACCTTGTGAGGATCCCAGAGGACAGATCATCCTGAAGAAACCCCCACAGAAGCTGTGCCACAGCCAGGCCTCTGCCCTGTGTCTCACTCCACCCCTTGCAACGCACAACTCCAAGAGGGGAGTGCTCCCTCAGGCACTCACCCCAGAGAGTGGGGAGCGCAGATACTCCTCCTCCATCTGAACCTGGACCTCTGCAATGGATGTGTACTTGTGCTGTCCAGAGACAAGAGCATGGAAGGTCAAACCATGAGACAGAAGCCCAGCGCTAATTACCACAGCCACTGCATGCACACAAGGTAAATCAGGAGGGGCACTAAGAAGATGCCTGTAGTATTTCATTTATCACTACCTTCTCCTTGATCATCTCTCTGAGCACAGGTAATGGCAATGAGTAACACCTCTCTGCTCTCCTGTTGGATTTAACCCTCTCTAACTAGACAGCAAATAGTGCAGATGTCAACTGCTTTGAATACTTCCTCCACTAAGGCTGAATCAGCAGTGCCTAGTCACCACACCTGGGGAAGGGCTACCCAAACCAGTCTGACCAGCTGCAGGGCATACAAGGGAATCTGGAGGGAGTTAAAAGGCAGATGTGCAAAAATAAGAGAGGTGAAGCCTCCAGGCCTGTCAGCCAGCAGGGTTATAGCTCAAAGACAGCTGGCCCAAGCCATGACTGTGCTAGGAGGGGCCACCCACTACAGGGACATTGGTCCCTGGACAACACACGGAGCGAGGACGGGAGCTTGAAGAGGGGCACTCACCTGTTTCAGGGTCCGAATGCTCTCATGGATGGGCCTAGGCAATCCTACGACAGTGTTCGTGTCACTGAAGAGAGAGAGGTAGACTGCATGCTGAGTCTGACAAGCCCCCTTCTTGCTCAGAAGGAAAGGGGAGCAGCTTCTCCAAGACAGCAGACCCACCATCTGGCTCTGCCTAACACTCCCTCCCCTCTAGTTGAGTGCTGCCAGTGAACTGGCTTGCCTTTCACTCACCTCCCCAGGGTGTAACCAATGAATTTGCTGCGACTGGATTCCAGGAACATCTCAATGTCCTTCTCTCTGTTGGACAGGAGGGGAAAACATATCCCATCTGAACATGCCTCACATCTAAGCATTTCCCATACCCCACAGCACTCATAGATAGGAAAAGCGATCTTGAGCAGCAGAACTTCCTGAACTAAGCAAGATGCTGCCATGAAACCCCAAAACCTCACTCCAGGCAGATCATTCCCAGGATAAGCTGTAGCAATCTTGTCCCCAGGGACACACCCAAGATATGTTCTTCAAAGAATCACAACATAAACCACCACATCAATGACATGTTGCCAACACCTCCACTGCCGATGTCCCTGCTAGTGGGATGGTTGGTCTTAATGTAATCACCGGAGAGCTGCCAGAGGAGCTTGGCTGTTGTCATTACATGATACAGTGACTGTCTACAACCAAGGAGCTACAACTCATCTCTCACCTTAACCATCAACCCTATGTGCCCGGGACAGGGTGGGGGGGAGAAGTTGAACACTACAGCACCCCAGAAGGGCAATGTAAGCTTGTTCTGACCCCAAGAAGTTCTTTATGGTGCTGAGGACTGACCTGACTTTGGGTGCCCAGGGCAGCCCCTTCGGGCAGGTGATGCGGTCAGTTGGAGGGTGCTGGATGGGTGGAGGCATAACTTCGTCTCGTTCAAGGGGGAAGGTCTCGCCCTCAAGGCTGTTATCATCATCATTTTCCTCTTCTTCCTCACGGGAGTCATCAGCTTTATAAGGGTCCCGCTCATTGAAGGCATCTAGGTTGTCCTGCTTAATCAGGGCCTGGAACCAAGAAAGAAGTCAGCCAAGTGTGGGGTGAGGTGAATGTCATGTCAATAGAGATATGGGGAATCTCACTTACGGAAGGAAGCAAGTCACCCTGAGATGACACCAGTATCCCACATGAACAAAAGCAGCATCATACTGGGTCGGACCATAGGTTTATCTAGACTAATACCCTGTAGCTCAGATTTAGAGTGTGGATGCTAAGGGGGAAAAGTATTTGTGCAGGGCATACCCAGGCTCATCTGTCCCCTGCCCCTCTTCTCTCACTGCTTGCAGGACTCCTGTCTATGGGAAAACTGGCCTGCCCCATGAACCACTGTCCCATTACAGGTGAAGCAAGGCCCTCAGTCTGTCCCATGCTTGGCCTCACCTTATGCTCCCTCCGTCCTCGCTTCTGCTGCTGTTCGATGAGGTCAGAGGCTGATGCTGGTGGGGATGCAGCCCTCATGTTGCGGATCACTTTGATGCTGTCCTCCGGAAGTGGCGGGAGTCCCAGCATCTCCCGTTTCTCTGCCTTCATGCTTTGTAGCTCCTCGAAGCCTCCTAGAGTGCACTGCAACAGGAACCCCCAAAATCTCCACTTAAACTCCCACATGCCACAGCACACAGGGCTTATGCCTCAAACACCTCCACTAACTCCAAGCCTTAAGCCCTTCCAGTGCCACGAGGAGAAAGTCCATATAAACCAATCCCAGAGGCACCAAGCTGGGCCAGTAATGCCTTAAATGTGGGATTGGTGATGTCTTGTTTGGGCTGTATCTTAGCACATCAAACAATGCAGCTCTCTGTCTGAAGACAGCTGTGGAGAACCAGGTTGGTTTGGCCACTAAACACGTAGCTCTTAGCAGCTAGTACAGAGATTTGGCCCTGAGTAAGTCCAGCTGCCCCACACTTGGGCTCTAACAACTCAGGATCATAAGAAGTGCCAGATCAGGCCAGATGCAGAAGTCTAGCTAATCCAGTGGCCAGGCCTGATCCAAGGCGTCTATGTAGAAGTGATGCCATAGTGCCCTGCACCAAGTTACCAGGCAGTAAGCAGGGCATCTTCTAGCAGCACAGCCACTTGCCTTATAACGGCTTCTGAAGCACAGGAGAAAGCACCGCATGAGCCAGAGACCAGCCCAGCTCCTAAGGCCCTCAGTGCGAATAACACCACCTGGAACACCACCCAGAAAGATGAGCCCTTGCCTCTGGCACCAGGCACTGAAGCAAGTTGGGAGCACTGCCCACATCAACTCAGAACCTTAGACTGAGCAGGACTGTGCTGCATAGGAGCAGAGGTGCAGTTATTCTGGGAAAAGTGCTAAGAAGCAAACACTTTGAAGCTGTGATGGGGACGGAAGCCCATACTAGAGACAGCCCTGGGGGCATGGGCTGCACACACCGAAATCCGAGGAGGCGGCTGAACTCTGGTCCTAGCAAGAAACTACAGCTAGTCCTCATAGCTTTACTCAGACTGCAAGCTGTTCAGGGCAGGGGCCACTTCCTTGTTATTTCTTTAGTGCCTAGAACAATGGAGCCATGACTGTGCTAAACACTACTGCGATACAAACCAACATCATGTCTTCCTCTGCCCTAAATAGGAAGCACTGAATTGTTAACCCAGCATGAAAGGGAAGCAATTCAATCCTGTTCCCATATCCCAACCCTTGCCAGACTGCTGTGGCCATGAAGTTCATTCACATTTGGGTAAGAAGCTGCTGGGTTTCTATAACTCCCTGTACCTCAGATGAACCAGAGGCACTTCACACTACAGATGCTATTCTGGCTTTGTCCTACAAGTCAATACACAGAGATTCATACTGAAATAAGCTGCATTGTTTCATGGCACACAGCAATGCAACTCAAGACAGGAAAAGAAAAATACTGCAGGGCACCAAAATGGACAATGGAATGTAGACACAGAGTAGCTACCTAAGACACAGTTTGGGCAAAACATTAGGATTTGATATATCGAGACGGCCTTATAGGGATGTTACTGCTGGTCCCAGGAGCGGTCCAGTCCTACTGTCCGTAAGTCTATGACGCTCATCCACATCTCAGGGCAGCTGCACCGTGCTCACTTCAGGGTAAGACAGTCACAGCTCTGTATCACTTGCTTCCAGCCAAGTTCACCCCAGATTAGGTCCTAGGCAGAGAGTCTTTAGAAAGCACCTGTTTAAGCTTTCCTGCCCAGGCAATAGTGGCGCTTACCAGTACAGTCTTCCAGAGCAGCAGCAAGACCTTCTTCATAGGGAAGTGAGGGGCATGACCACTGCAGAATTTGGTCACCATGCCAAAAAGCATGACGGAAAATGGCTCATTGTTATACAGCGGGGCACCTGTAAGCAAACACACCAGTGCTAGCTGGGCTTCCCTGAAGAAACCCCTGCCCTCCTCAAACAGATTCCCCTAACAGCCCCTTTCCCTGGATCCTAACAACCTACACTTCCTTACCCCTTTCCTACTCACTCCAGCCAACTCCTCTATCCCTTTCAGAAGTCAGAATCTACTCTCTCACTCTGGCACTGAGGGAATGAGCACTCTACAGACCAAACTCCTGCTTTGCTTTGTGAGGTAAGGCAGAGGTAATAGGAGCGCTGGCTTCCTTAGCTCAACCAGCTCTACTACAAACCAGCTCAGCTGCCACTAAGACTAAGGGTCTTCCATCCTGTTCAGATCTTGCCTGTTTTAGAGAGACAGCCTACAGGGAGTATTGAGGCATCTATCAACTGGGAATCAGACTGGTACCTTATTTCTCCCACACCGCAGCACCACCAACCTGGCTGACAGCCAAACCATGAGGGAGTTTCTGTGCATCCCATGCCTATCTCATCATGTCCCAACTCACCCCACCCATCTATACACAGGCATGCGACACTCCAGCAGAGGAACCTACCTAGCTCTGCACGGAAGGTCTGCCTCATAGTCTTCCACTCCACCTTGTCTCCCTCACACTCCTGGCGGACGGTCTCCACAATCAGGTACATGATATTCAGCAGCACCCTGCAAACAGCAGAGGATCAGACCCCACCACAGAATGAACAAGATGGGAACAGAGTAAAAAGCAGATGCCTGGAACCTGCTGGCTTCGATTAAATAGACAGGAGCTTAGTCTACATTGCAGTATGGTCAGCAGCATCTCATCTCCTTGCCAGCACAGCTATGTCCCCCAGCCTGGATACAGCTGAGCCAACAGAAAAGAACTTCTGTCTGCAAAAGGTCTGTCATTCAAGGAAATGGTGAATCCAAACTAGCAGAAAAACCTTTTTGTTGACATCACAGGTCTGCTGGCAAAGCTATGACAGCAGCTACTCAGAGATGCAGGCACTACAGTCCACTTCAATTCCTTCCCACAAAAGGAGGGGGCTAGGAACAAAGAGATGAGGGCCCCCACAGATGAGCTGGGCACAAGAAACCCTCTAGCTGCAGTATGTGGGTCCAGTGGGTTGACCCCTTTAAGGAGGTCAGACAAATAAATGAGGAGGGAGCAGTTATAAGGCATTAAACATATGATCACCATATAAAGTGGATATAAACCTCAGTTCCCCACTTTCTACATCTGCTTATTCTTCAGGATCAAGTATTCTCCACTGACCTTTGATAACATCCATGCATGTTAGAGAGGGTTTGCACTGGTGGAGACCAGTTTACTCATCATAAGTTTTATTTGTATTTATTTCAAATGAGGGATCACCAAGCTGAACAGGCTAAAAACAACTGCCAGGCCTGAACTCCTCAGCACTCTTTTGACCCACTTGTAGTAATTCACAGGGAACAGTCTGATCCAGCATAGGAAAACTCTACTGGATTCATCAGCTGCAGTATTTTGCAGCTAGGAGTTGCCTGTACTCAATTCCTCAGATGCCAAGGCTGCCTATCACGTCTGTAGCTGTTCCCACATTGCAGAAAGTGTAACCAAGGCAGTGAGGGGCAATGTTAGAACTAGGAATAGCATCCAAACCTCCCAAAGGCAGGCAATAAATCCCACAATGCACCTGGCCCAAGGCCCTTCCTCAATCCCATAGGCCTTTTGCTTAGCTCCTGATGTCCAGTGTTCAATCCCTTATTAGCTTAAGAAGGTTATTCACAAGGCTTCTTACCTCAAGTCCGTGCTATCAGCCAGGGAGATGGCAGGCTTCCTCACTGCACTGCTGCATGCTGCGCTGTTGCTAGAGGAGGAAACAGAACCAGCAGCTCAGATCAGGTTGCTTGCATCTCCCTCACCCTATAAAGAAACAGCTGGGAAGTTTTAACACCAGCAGAAGTAACCAACTGATACACAGGAGCCAGCTGCTCTGGCTGGGATGCAATGGAATACTGGAAGCCTCCAAATGAATAATGCAACGCCTGGAATAAACGCAGAACCCTTCACGCTTGCCAAAACTAGGGGTATCTAGATGGAGTTCCATTCTCCTCAGGAAAACTGATGATTTCTCAAACATCTCACTGATCCTTCCCCATCACCTCAGTACTTCAACCCATTTCTCAGATAGAAAAAAAAACTCAGTGACTTGCCCAAACTTTCAAGGATGTCAGAGCTGTGATTACCATTTAAGAGTTACTGGCTCTCCGACCTATAGTCATGCCACCCTACACTCAAGTGTTAAGCTCTCCACTATGAAGAGAGACACCAAAAATAAAGCGCCCTCTCCTCAATGGATTTTTCACCCTATGTTCCCATCAACAGCAAGCCAAGCGTCTGCTCCGGGCAGATAGTGAGGGGTGACAGCCTCACTCTCAGATTACACAAATGGACTCCCAATAGGAATCACGTTCTCCAGAACTGTCTAGCTCCATGCACATCTCCTATCCTTCTACCTACAGCAGGGGAGTGATCAGGTGATAACACAGGAGATGACTTCTCAAGTATGCCCTTTGTTATTAAAAGAGACCAGCTGCTTTGCAATAGCCAGGAAGTTTGTCTCAAGAGACTGGAAATATGATAGATTTTCTACTACGAGTCACCAGCTGAAACAAGCCCAGCTGCCACTTTCTTGACAACTGCTTGATAGTTTGTAGGATGAGCAGTTTTTACTAGCTAAGACCTCTGCAGTACAAAAAACCAGCACACAGTTGTCCACGGGACAGGGATTAGGGAGCAAATGGACCTAGTGGACAGTAAGAGCTGGTATTTCCACAACAAATCGGGAGCATATTGGTAGGGCAACATGAAAAAGCTTCTGCCCATCACACATGGTCCTTGGACACGAGGTGCAAACCAACCTACAGAAGTTAACAGGAGACTTTCCAGCAATGTCACAGGACCTCAGTTGGCAGCAGGGAACTGCTTACAACTGAGTATCTTTCACAAGCTGGAAAGCTATCCAGGTACAGCAGTTCACAATCCAGTTATCAACTTGCTACTGGCACAGCTTTCCATCCTCCTCCCATCCCCTCAACTCTATGGCACTCACTCAATTTCCATGTTCAGAAGCTCCACCAGAGCATTGAAGGTACCAACTTCCAGCAGCAAGAAAACGTTGTATCGCATCCAGGCCTGAACCTCTGCTTCAGAGCCACACTCTCCAAAGGTACCTAGAAAAACATGATTACTGATTCACTGACAAATAGTGAGCCTGGCAACACGTGGGGGCATCAGATGCATATTTACAGGCAGGGGAAGGGTCTGTCCTCTGGCTGATGTGGAGATGCATTAGTGTTAGTGAAAGAGATGGACAAAACAAGTCACTTGCCTCCCATGGTTGGTCCAACTAATGGGAATGGTTGATTCCATCAAACCTCTTACCAAAATTTTTTTTCCAGAATTGAATAAAATCATTCCAATTGCAACTTATTCAGTCAGAGCAGCGATTCTCAACCAGGGTGTTATGGCACCTTGGAGTACCTTGAGATTCTGTCAAGGGTGGTGCAAGGCACCATACAATATTAGCACTGTCATAAGATAAACCCACAGATTTCAAATAGAAATCCACAGCTCTGAGCTTTCCAAGTTCTTTGCAACCAAAAAAATGCACTATTATTTTTCCATAAGCAAGAAGAGTGAAAAGTAAGAGCTGGCATTTTCTGATGGGCATCTCAAGTCTACCCAAGGGTCCAAAAAGGCTGAGAACCACCAAGATAGAATTAACAAGTTGCCCTGGAATTTTGTTAGTGCACAAGAAAGAGACCAGTGACCAGCCTGAGCCCTGGCCTGGGGATGGCAACCGTAAAAAAAGGACACAGAAGCTAGAGGGGAAAAATTCAGAGGGTACAGCATCTGTGAAAGGCCTCTCTCCATAGCCTCAGGCTTCCCACAGAACAGACAGCGGGCTTGATGCTGAGTGGCTGGAGCATTCAGCACCACACGCTGTGCTATGGAGTGTCCTACTGGCAGCAGTAGGAAGGCTGCTGCAAGGCCCCGGACAGCTCTGACTTACACTGGAACCTCCTCAGATACCAGTATAGGCAGAACACAGAGAGCCCAAAGACAGCTTAAATATGTTAATCAGAAGCACTTCCAAAAAGCATAGCTCTGACACTCAAAACCATCTTTGCTCCAAACACTTGCGTGTCCTGGGCTTCAGAACCCAGCCCCAAAATGCAAGCCCAGCTACAATGCGGGATGAGAATGGTCCGTCTGTTTCACTGCTGGAAACTGAGCGATACACACTAGTAAAGAGGCAGAAAGAAGGAGGGGAGGGGAGAGAGGGGTATTTCAGGTCCCCTCCAGGCCATATACATGTCACAGGAAATGGGCAAGTTTCCCACAAGAAATGACACCATGCCAGACGTTAATGGAATTTGTCCCAGCAAAGAGGTGGCTAATCTGCGACAAAGAAGTTGCTGTTTAAATAGGAACTTAATGCCAACACAAATTTAACATCTGGCCAGGTAGATAGACCCCCCACTGTCCCACAGTGCTCTGCTCTCCTTCCCCCCACTCCAAAGCTACCAGACTAGCAGACAGCTGGCTAGCAGACAAACCACAGAGCGATCTGTCAGGTAGATTTGCAGGCTGCCCTATCCCACTGCTGCAGAGCAGAGACAGGAACAAGGCTGCTATCAGCAGGGGCTGTCCAGGTGGGAAAACTGGTGCTCTCTGCTCTCCCAACCTGCTCCCTGGCCCTTTAAACATCCTGGAGCACATGCAGACCAGCAGACCAGCACCCTGGGGTGCCCGATTCCGATGCTACAGGAACCCCTTTACATTCTAGAACTTGTTGCCCAGGAGCCTGGCACACTGGCCGGACCCATGCCAGGACCAGTTGGGCAACAGGTACTAAGAGACCCCCTGAGGGTGGTGGCACTACAGAAATAACATTTGGAAGCAGCTTGAGACAGCTGCAGAGACACAAAGGAAACTGATTTCAAATCTCTCTCTTTTTTAAACCAGCACCCCTTACAGATTCAGCACAGAAAAAGCAAGGGGCAGGGTGATTTCAGGAGGGTCAAATCCCCTTAGCTGACATAGTCTCCTACCTTGTGCAACATAGAGGATGGCCCGGGCTACCTTGAGCCTTTTCTCCCTGGCAGTAACCTCCAGCCCATCGAGGAGCCGCATGGCATGAGTCCGGTGCTGATTGTTGTCCAGCTCGGTCCATTTCTTATCATGCACTGAAAAACCAAGAATGATCACTTTGGTGAACTGTTTCTCCCCCAGAGCTGGAAGGACTAGCTACCTCCCTAAAAGCCACAACACAGTGGAGCAGTTGAAGCTCCTGTTCCTATGTAAAGATGCAGATTACTGGATGCCCTGAATTTTTGGCCATGTATCGACATTAAGACAGACTGTCAATCTAGGTAAGATGCTCATCACAGCCCTGGAACAGAATATAAGCATATCTGATCTGCTAGAGGTCACACTGAGGGGACTCACTAATGCCACCTACTGCAAGATCAGATTAATGAGACTCATCCTTTGAAATACACATCAGCAACAACCAGAAATCAGTAGAGTCTAATGGCTGGTCAACAGTAGGTTGGGGCTTCCCAAACTGTCTAGGTCTTGTACCATAGCATGGATAATAAAAAGGTAATACTAGGTCATTACTGCTGCCCTTAACATCAGCTATCCAACAACCTAGAGAAACCGCAGAATTGTCCTTCCTTTTTCCCTGTTTACATTTCCTTTTTCTGCTTGCCCATTCCTCCCTTCACATGCCCTCTAGGAGTTTGGCACATGCCCTGTAAGATGCACGTATCTCAGTTTGAGACCCAAAGGCATAGGTAAAATAAGTTGATTGTTCATAGTGCCTTCCACAGTCACAATTGCCATTAGCTGTCCACCACATTTAGAAAGATAAAGTACTGAATAAGCCAGAAACAATGTGCTCATGGGTGAGGAACATTAGCAAGGTGTCCCTCGGATAGAGACCATATTTGCCAGCAAATACTGTAAGTTGTAAACCAAGTAAGGGATGTTTGTAGTTGGTTCCTGCCCTGACACGGGGATAACACATCAGTACTTGCATCTCCTCATGAATGTTCTACAGGTGATCCTGAAACCTACGAACAGGGGCAAGGAGGGAAGAATAAACTTCTCTTACCGTGGACCCTAAAATCTTCCTCAAAGCACTTTCGGTTCAGCTGGAATTCTGGGCCTTCGGTGTAGCTGTACAGTTCTGCCAACATACCATAAACCGTGTCTACTTGTTGTCAGTTTTCTTTCAGCATCCCCCCAAAAAG